TATTTATATACATAATAATATCCTTTTGATCAGCATGGGCAATATTTTAGTAGCCGAGGATGCTGCATTTCATGTGGAAGGAGTGAAGGCCACAGATAGTGGAGCCACATCCCACACATGGGCAGAGCTGGGTTTTTTAAAAAAGAACATATACATGTTCTTTTCTCATGTGTGTGTATAAACTATGCTAAGCTTATTTTTGGCTTATGCTGGCATTTTTCATGTGCTTCTTGTCTGAGAAAAGGGAAGGAAACCAAAAGTTCAGCACTGCAGTCAGAGGAAGCTCTGGGGGCTAGAAAACAGGGGATTGAAACCAGGGTTGGGGCCATCTTTATTGTATGCCACCCAGATTCATGTATGTGAGATGGGCAGCTATTATTAATAAATAATAATAATCTTTTATACAGTCTGGAAATGCCTAAACTTGTTGAAACAGTTGGCGCATTTCAGAGCATGTTTCTGTCACTCTCAAAAATAGCTAGCATAGTGAAAGTGGCCATTTACTAGAAGGCAAAACTAGTATGATTGGTCTCCAGCATCCTCTCTTGCTCTCTTATGTTGTCTACCATATCTGCATCCTTTGGTGGGTGTTCCCCCTCTGCCTCTTGGAAGTGGCACACTTCTAAACCAAACCCTGGGCTGTCACTACCCATCATAGTGTCTGTGGGCCTTTCTGCACTTGAACCTAACCAGGGCACAAACATCTCTCTTCTACTGTGTCTCCATGGTGCTATATATCATGCTGGTATTCCACTAGGCTTTTAATGTATATTTTTGTATATTTTTATTAATATTTCTTTATATTAATGTATTATATGCACAATGTATTATTATTATTATTATTATTATTATTATTTATTAAATTTGTACTTGCCCGACTCCCAGCTCATGAGAGAGATAGGCTTAAATTGTCAATAGCTGTCCAAGTGTTTTCCCACTTATCCTGACACCATCCAAGACAGCTTCAGGGTGGAGAAAATCTATTAGACTTTATCACCGATTATCTTGGAGGGAAGTCAAGTTACCACGGTGACTCAAAAGAGACACAATAGAGATAGGATAGGAAACAATACACGGACAGAAATTCTCATGTGAGTACAGGTAGTCCTCATTTAGCAACTGCCTCAGACAGTGACCATTTGCAGTTACAACAGGGATGGAAAAGTAACCATGCAACCGATGCCTGCATTTATGACCTTTGCAGTGTCTCTCTCTCAGCCATGTGTTCAACATTACAGTGAGTTAGTATGCACTGTCCTGTGTCTGACCCATTTTTTAAATTTTTCCTCCCCTCACACAGCGGAGAGATTGCTTAAACAAGCTATCTCTTCCTGAGCTGCTTTTCTCCCCAGCGCAGGGGATCTCTGAAAAATGCTAACTGCAAGTTAACAAACTCAGCTCTGTCACCTTAATTAGTTTGCAGCTGCTGCCTGACACTGACAAGACCCTAATCAGTTTCCTAAGCTGCTTGCACCCATGAGTGCACTAAGCAAACAGCCTTAGCACATTCCTTTTGATTTGTATTCCCCCTTGTGTGCCTGCTTACTCTCTTGTAAACCCTTCCTCTCCAATGAATGTAACTACAAACATTAAATCCCTTCTTGTTAATTATCCCAGCACCAGAGTGAGCATTCCAAAGGGCGGGGGAGTGGGGAAAAGGAGCTATAAGATTTGCCCTCTTACCTGGCTTCCTTGTGAGTCACGTTTCCCCACCATTTGGGCTCACCTGGCTGTTGGGGGCTGTATCCTTCTGATGCTGTAAAGCAAAGGAAAGCTGAAGTAAAATTGTAAGTATAGTTGCAGTCACATGATTTTTCACTTAGCTACCGCTTTGCTTAATAACTGAGTTGCTGGTCCCAGTTGTGGTTGCTGAACGAAGACTACCTGTGCAGATTTTGGCCAGCTTCAAGCATGGGGAAGAGCAGTTCACTCAGCAGTGGGGAAAAACTGCTGGAGGCCAGTGTGTGGCTTTGTAGCATACTAGCTTCCCTTTCATTTGTTTACAAACTAAAATAAAGTTTTAAAACCACACTCTGGGATATTAGAAGAACTTGTTAAATCCTTTAAAACTAAAAAACCTACTATTTGTTTTTATAGATATTTGGTATCAATAAATCAATTCAGTATGCAGAAGTTAAGAAATGAGTGTAATAAAGAATTAGAGGTTCCTATATTGTCTAGGCAATGGGAGAGTGTCTTAACTTCTATAGCAAGAGAGTCAATGGATCTCAAATTACAACTTATACAACAAAAAATATTTAGAATTTATTGGACTCCATTATGTTTCTGTAGAAAAGGATTGTCAAAAACAGTATCTTGTTGGAGATGTAATAAGGATAATGCTTCTGTAAAATATATGTTTCTACTGTGTCCTATACTTACCAAGCTTTGGGAGAAAGTAGTGGACTACATAATAATATGATTGTGCAACAAAAGCTAAAATTTTCAGAGAATAATATTCCTTTGAACTATATATTTAGTACATGGAATTTGACAACTGGCCCTTACTATGACCAAAAGGCTGATATTGCAACATTGGAAAGATAAAAGTATGGCCCCATTTATTCAACGGATTGAAGACCTGATTGCGCTTGCCACTTATGAGCGGATTGCCTATAGACGTAAACTTTGTATGGACAAGTATAATGAAATATGGGACTCATTTATACAAAATAGACTCATTTATACAAAATACAGGTTAAAAATGATATATAAATGTATTAGAAATAAATACATACTTGAATAATATTTGCATTAGGTAAGTATAGATATAATTGCAACTGTTTACTATTAATGACGTTAGCCTTTTTTTCTTCGTTGTATTTCACTTTTTTTTTAAAGCACTTTCTATGTGTTTTTTCCTTCTTCTCAAAAAAAAAAAAAATTAAAAGAAAAAGTTTTAAAACCACAGATGGAGCAGGCAGTCTGGTGAGCACGAGTGGAGGCATCAGTGGACAGGGGTCGGGCACCACATGGGGGACCCAGGGAATGACAACAGGATTCAGGAATGGGGACTGCAACACACATAAGCAGCAGCAAAGAAAACACGAGATAGAAAATACAGAATGGCCTACGGCAGTGTTTCTCAACCTTGACAACTTTAAGATGTGTGGACTTCAACTCCCAGAATTTCCCAGCCAGCACATGCTGGCTGGG